ATACAATGAAATTAAACCATATTAATTTTTTCCAGACTAGAAATAACTGCTTTATTTTCTAATTTTTATAGCCTTTGATTTTGAAGTCTTTTATACACTGTGAAAATCAATAAATATGTATTTCATGTCAACTAAGCAGGACTCCATGCACATTTTACTGTATAGTTCTGTATAATATTACTATATAATTCTACATAATTCTTTTTATCTCATTTCATCTATTAATTATAGACTTATGACCAGGAACTTAGTTTTTTTCCTGGTACAGGCTTAGTAAATGATTGTCGAATTATTTAATATTGAAGTACTGTGAATTTTTTATTGCCAAAATTAAAGAATGTGTAATTTTGCTAATTAATGATTTGAACTGAGCTCTGGCAGATTGCTCTGGTACAACATCAGCTCATTTTGCTATGCCAGCATAGTTGTCTAATATCTATAGAAGGTCTGGACAGTTTGTTCATAAACTTTCTTGCTTTTGTTCCCAGCTGGGAGTGGCAGCAGGAAATTTGATAACTATGTGTGCTGTACTTCTTGTAGCTCCAACAGCCTGGGAATGCCAAGGCTGTGAAATACTTGGTTTCATCAAATAAAATGACACTCATCTTTTATTTTATATATATATATATATATATATATATATATATATATAAAATGTTATATTATATTGTTATATTATATTATATTTATTATATTATATTAAATTTTGTGTCTCTTTTCAAACCCCTTGCTTAGTGAATTTGCCTGAATTTGAATCTGGAAATTCTTTGTCATTCTGCCAGTGATAGGAACATGAATAGAGGGACAGTCCTGGCCTCAAGGAGTATGTCTTCTTGCCAAGGCACTTGACATATCACTAAAATATAGTGTGGTGAGTGCTGTAAGAAACAGTGATTCAGGATCCCAAAGTGGGGAACCATTCTGGTTCTCATATGTGAAGGAGCAAAGACATGGTGAGAATCAGGCAAAGCTTCAGAGAAGCAGAGCCGTTGCATCAGAACAGTAAGAGGTGAGTGGAAGATGGCAGACAGGTGGGGAAGGGTGGGCTCTTCTAGCCAGAACAGATGATGAGAGCAAAGATGTAGAAGTACAAAGGTCCTGGAGACAGTTGGCTGAATAGGAACATGTTTGAGTGAGGCTTGCAATGAGCCCACATAGCAAGCTTGCAAATTTATGTACTTTGGTGGGGATCATTCAACTTTTAAGTCCCAGTACTTAATTCCATTCCTACACTGATTTACTCTTTGCCCTTTCCATTCCTCTTTAGCCCTTTTCTCCTATTCTATACCTGCACCTTCTTCCCTGACAGGATGTGGATAGTTTTCCAGGTTTTGTATTTTCTTCTTGTCCAGGACTACTAACCAATAAGCCCTTCTCCTCTAAAGACTTTTACTACTAATCTCTCTGAGGAAACAGAGTAAGTAAAATAGTAAGCCTGAGGAAGTTATGAGTTCCAGACTTCAAAGTTGTTCAAGTCATGGTCCCTGATCTTTTCTCTCACAGGAACCGAAAGCATCTTTATTTGCTGCCTTCAGTGTGATTCCTGTCTGTGGGGCCTAATGTGTTTCCTGTTTCTCCTAACCCCACAGTATAGGATCGTCTGAGCAACACAATTGAACACGACAGTAATTGATGCCATTCTCACAGACAATTTCTAGCTTTTAGGATCTCTCATTCTACAGGTTCCTTCTCTCTATTAAATTTTCACTCACCAAATATTATCCTCAATGAGAGTCAATAATGATGTAAAAACTGTTTCCTGTTAATTTTTATTAAAGGGTATAAATAGTATATACAGAATAGTGACTGGTAGTATAGATAAATATTCACAGCAACAAAATAAAAATGGTAGCAGATTTATTTTAGCAGTTGCACATTGGGAAGTGCTTTGTTTTCTAAATTTCCCCGAGAGAAAAATGAGCATATATAGCTTTTATAATGGAAATATAAGATACTACTTATGTATTTATTCAGTTAAAGTAATCCTGAGGATCTTCTGTTTTAGGTGAGAACTGTGATTAGAAAGAGCAGATTACTCTAACTTCCATTCTGCTCAGGATATTTATAGAAATTCCTTCCTAGGTTACGCTTTTAGCCTTTTCTTGAAGGAACAATCAGAGCTTTAAAAGTGGAGTCAAAAGTGACCTGATTAGATCTCCATTTTTAGAAAAATGACTTAACAAATTCTGGGTTGGCCTGTCATTGAGTCTGATGGCAGGAAACTAAACAGAACCATTTCTAGGAGTCTGAGCAAGATGATGGGCTGCCCTTGAGTAGTAATAGTGAATTGGAGAGAAAGGAACAGATACAGGAAGCAGGCACTGCAAAGTAAACATGTGCAAAATTAAACTGTCTTTTTTAAAACTACACTTCCCTCCCCCTAAAAAGTGAATATAGCAAATTCACTTTTTCTCCCCTATTTCATATGTCAGTAAATGGTACCACCTTCTACCCTGCTATCCAAGACTGAAACTTTGACTTCTCTATCACCTCATCCCAAGATCCAGCCCATCACCAAGTCCTGAGTCAAGGATGTATGCATACAATGAATCTTAATTGCTTGCTACTGTCGGTGCATACTTCATATCTCTGTCTTATTTATTAAGTAGTTGGCAATCATTCCAGTCCCTTTACCTCTCTTGTGTCTATCATCTTGTGACATATATAGTCAACCAAAGAGAAGAGAGAGACTCTAAAGTTATTAGAACCTACATCACGTAAGTTAACAGTTATTTACTTACACTGGTGGCTTGTCTTCTGCACTCCAAGTATATATGCTTTGCCTCCATTTGAGAATTGTGAGAGACACATTCTCATATGCCCTTTAAGAATTTATTTTAGAGGAACTGTCACAGTGTTAGGACAAAGATGATGCTCAATAAATACCAATTCAGTCTTTGGTGCTTGTAGAATGCTACGCTTCACAAGATATATAGTAGAAATACCAATAATAATGCCTGCATCCCTTTACTGGGCTTCTGCTGTTTCTACCATGCTTTTCCCTTGTCTGCCTAATTATTTTTATAGGATGAATTCCTAGAAGTGGGGAAAGAGATAATTCAAGGCCCAGGTTACCTAAACCAATTAAAAATTGAAAGAAATATAATCCATAATGTTGTCACTAAAACTGTGAGCATCAGAATGAGACGGACCTGGATTTGAATACAGGCTCCACTGTGATTAGCCACGCAACCATGAGCATGTTGCTTGACTTTTCTGAGTTTTGGTTACTTGATTTATGAGGTTCGAATAACCATAATACCAATCACATGGAACAGTTATGATTTAATGAAATAACATATGAAAGTACTTAACATAGAGCCTGGTACAATGTAAAAAAATCTAATGTGTCATTTATGGCTACCACATATGAGACTCAGCTTATTTTTATCCACTTCTACTCTTCCTACACAAATCACTTGTTAAAATATTTACATCATACCTCTAAGTGAAACTTTTTATTTATTTATAATTTTTTAAATTAAATTTATTGGGATGACATTGGTTCATAAGATTATATAGGTTTCAAGTGTACAATTCTATGATACATTATCTCTGTATTGCATTCTGTGCTTACTACCCAAAGTCACATCTTCTTTCATCACCATACATTTGACTCCCTTTTCCTTAAAATGGAGAAATAGCATAGAAGTAGATTCCATTTTTAATAGTCTGTTTTCTACAAAAGGACAGCAACTCAGCATTAAAAGGTGGTAAGGAAATAAGGGCATTTGTAGGAAGAACACATATAGTTGAGACTTGGTAATAAACCCTGGTTATAACTTTAGGTTTCCAAAGTTTTAAAGAACTAGAAAGTGGGATAAAAGAAGTGAGTATTTGGTTTATTTCAAGTAATAGTGGTCCATGCACCTTATTTGTTGAATAAGACTTATTTGCCCCATTGATTTGAAATATCAGTTTAATCATATATTACATTGTTAGACAGATATATATGTTTGTTTCTAGAATGCTCATTTTATTTAATTGAACTACTTGATTATTTCTGTGTTGGGGTCATGTTGTTTTAATTGCTGAGTCTTTATAATGGATTAAATTTTTAAATATTTTAAATGGATTTTGACATTTAAAAAAATAAATGAAGTCAATCTGTATTTTAAAAGAAAAAGAAAAAAGGAACTCCTACCTTTTGCGACAACATGGATAGAACCGGAGAATATTATGCTAACTGAAATAAGCCAGTTGGTGAAAGACAAATACCATAGGATCTCACCTATAAGTGGAATTTATTCAACAAAATAAACTAATGAACAAAATAAACCACAGGCATGGAAACATGGAGCAGACTGAAAGTGACCAGAGGGAATGAGGAAGGAGGACAATGGTGGAAAGAAGGAGAAGGAACTAAACAAAGAACATGCATGAATGACCCATGGGCATGGACAACAGAGTAGGAATTGACTGTAGGAGAGGGGGGTGGGGCGGAATGGGTGGAAGAGGGCAAAGAGGGAAAAATTGAGACAACGAATAAAATAAACATGATTTAAAAATAAAAAACTCATTAAAATGCTAAATGTCAAAATTTGAAAAAGGAGTATTTGATTCAAACAGAGGAAGTATAGTATTACCTCTTTCTGCTACTGAAAATCATTTTCTAAAGAATTAGAGAAATCATTGTTTATATTTACTTGATCATCTTTGATTACATTCTTCAAATATGAAATAGTTAACTTTCTGCTGTAATGTTGACATTTCAGTGTAAAATTATAGAAAAGAAAAAACAAGATGTAGAAGGCTAAAATTTTTTATGCTTTTTTTTTTAAAAAGAAGAGTTTAGAACTTAGTGTACTTAGAAGTAAGTTTTTTAAAAACCCCATGCTGTAGAAGTTGTATTGTATTTGTTTGCTAGCTTGGTTTTCATTAACAAGAGGTGAATAGCACAACTCTGAGGAAATAGATTTTGGTTAAAAAAATTTTTTTCTTTTTTATTTTACCCCCAGACAAAAGTCTCTCTTTGTTTAATGCTTTCTGTGTAATTACAGGGTGTAGGAAAAAACAAGATTGTTGACAGATTTCTTCATCTGCTCAATAGACCCCGAGAATATATCCAACTGCACAGGTAAGAGGAAAGGCCCTCAGCTTCTCGATATCAGGTTTAATTATTTATTTTTACCTCAGTACAATTTAAAACTACTCTTCTAAAGGCCCATTTTATAAACCAGTTTCATTCCTGTTCCTACTGTTCTTATCTCTCCTCTGTTTAAAAGGTAGTAAAACCATGCAAAATTTATTTTTAAAGTAAATAATGCTTTATAAACATGAACTAATAGATATTTTGTGGACAGAGAGTGATGAACATTATATTCTAGGAGCAGATTTCATCAACATAGAGGATCTTAAATTAGAAGAAAAATATGTAGAGGCTAATGCCATTCTAACAGGAAGCTAAAATAGCTCACAAGGAGAAACAATATACTATGAATCTCAGTTCTGAGAGAGAGAACTCAAAAATGTGGAAGAAGTGAGTTACTAGGTTTTTTTTGGCTTCCTTAAAAACACTTTGTGGGTTATCTAAATTTGTGTGGTCAGAATGCTGGATTCAGGGACACTTTTTAATCAAATAGATTTTTTAGACATGGATTTTTTTTTAGATTTATCAGTGAACCATTCTAAATCTTTTAAAAATAAAGCAAGCAGGTTAGGGGAGGAGGGGAGAAGAGTAAGAGGGGAGACAGGGAATAAGGAAGAGAGAGAGAAATTAAGGAATATACCAAGTAATAAGCAACCTAAAACTAGATTGAATTATTAATGGTTTAATCCCAGGAGATAAAAAATACTGTGTAGTCAAAAGAATATTGGATTGAATTACAAGAATTATTTTCTGGTTTGGGTCCTTTCACTAAATAATAATGTGCTCTGGAAAAAATTTGTGGGTGAAAGAAGGCAAAGTTATTGGGCCAAAAGAGAAGAGAACCAAAGTGAAGCTGAAGGGTTGTCAAAACCTTCTTTTTGAGATTTATACCTCCAGCTCTGAAGGAGTGACTGTGGTAGATTAGTCCTACCATAGTAAAGTCTCTCAAATCCTTGGCAAGACTCTCCAACACTGGGAAGAGGACAACCACCCACATGGTTTAGAACTCTCATATGGTTAGGCGCCTTCATAAATAATCCTGGTATTCAGAAGATACCCTATAAACTCTATGCTTTAGAAGTAGGACCCATCTATACCTAGAATGAAAACTACTCTACACTCCATCCTTAAAAAGTTTAAAAATAAAGCCTTGAAAAAGCAAGGATGTTTTCTATTTAACATTATTTAGAAGTTTTTCTCATATAAAATGACTTTTGTTTGAGTTTTTCTCATACAAAATTAACTGTGTAGCTTAACAAACTTGAGTGAAGGAAGACTGTAAAGTCTAGACATGCAACAACGTAGTATTCATAATGTCAAGCATTCAATGGAAAATTGCTGGGTATACAAAGAAGCAAGAAAAATGCTTAATAGAAACAGACCCTAAAATGATAGATAATGGAATTAGCAGACGAGGACTATCATATGTTGCCATGAACATGTTCAAACATTTAGACTAAACTTTTTCAAAATGGTAAGATACATCTATGAAGAACCTGTGACTAACTTATGAGGTCTTTCCAGAAAGTATCCAGCTACATAATGTGAAAAATAGAGACATTTATTTAAGAAGATACAAGATGCAAGAAAAATGGTACATGTGGACAATGATGCCTCAGTCCCCTATAAAGTAGGCACCTTGGGACTTCACACAATTCTCCCAATTGCCATCAGCTGCCCTGCCGTATTTTCCTAAATCTCACTAACAGTTTGAAATCTTTTCCCTTTCAAAGGTTTTGGGAAAAGCCAGAAGTCATAGGGCACCAAATCTGGGTTGTAGGCAGTGCTGAGTCACCTGGGTGATTTGATGTTTTGCCAAAAACCTCTGCACGAAACATGCATGAGAGGACACATGTGTCGTGATGAAGCTGCCCCAGTCACCCATAGTGGTGACCTTCTGAATCATCAGAATAGTTTCCATGGAGAAATGTTCAAGCTTAACAGAGAATCTGATGCAGATTTGTTGTTCTACTTGTTCATTCATTTTGAATGTGACAGCCACACAGTACACATGCTCACTCAACAGCGACTACTGCTCCCACTGACTAGTACAGTGAAGCTGTAATTGTTCATGCATGCGCATTCCAGTCTACTCTCTTTGGCTGCCAGTTTACATTGATGTTGTGCAAATGATTCTTGTTACATTAACAATGGTTGGACTTTGTCTAGAGAGACCTCATATTTAATGATGAAAAACCAAATGCTTTCCTCCTATGATTCTGGAAAAGGCAAGAATATTCAGCAGGATGCTGGAGGTCCTAGCCAGTGCAATAAGGCAAGAAAAGGTAATAAATGGCATACATACTGAAGTGGAAGAAGTAAAATTGTTTCTTTTTAGAATGACATGTTGTGTGTATAGAAAATCCTAAGAAATCTACAAAAAAAATTAGAACTAATATGTGAGTTGAGCAGGATCACAGGATACAAGCTTAATAAAAAAAATGAAATGGACAATAGGGTAATAAAAATTTAAAAATAGTATTTGCAATACAATAAAAACATGAAATACTTAGAAATAAATTTTCTAAGTATTTAGTAAACCAGAAAGGAATGGCAAGAAATATTCCAAGTCATGAAAAACAAAGAGCATGCAACCAAGAGTGCTCTACTCAACAAGGCTATGAATTAAAATGGAAGGCAAAATAAGGAGTTTCCCAGACAAAAGAAGACTAAAAGAATACACCTCCACCAAACCAGCATTGCAAGACATGCTAAAGGGACTGCTTTAAGAAGATGAAAAAAAAAAAAAAGAGTCTATGGATACCCAGTTCCCTTCATAGTCACCAATACTTGATATTACCAATATTTTTAATACTTAGTAATCTCATTGTGACAATGATGTGTCATTTTAGTTGTTACTTTATTATTTGTTGAAACTAAACCTGTTTTTGTATATTTCTTGCCTATTTCTATTACTTTAAAAAGCTTTAAATGATCTTTTGGTATTCTTTATCTATTTTTTGATTAAATGTTTGTAGAATTTTTTCTCTAAAAAAGATACAAAACTGTTCATCCTTTTTTAGATGTGTTGAAAATACTTAACTATTCTATTACTTGTCCTTTAACTTTTTGATACGTATATTACTGTGTAGTTTCAAATGTTTAATATAGGCATATTGTCAATGTTTTACTTTATAGCTTCTGGGTTTGAATATTTTACTTCAGGGTAAGAAAAATTTTATTTTGTATTTTCTCCTAAATTGATTTTTAACTCACCTGAATATTTTTAGTATAATGTGTGAAATAGGGCTCTATATTTGTTTTATTTCAAGTAATAGCAGTCCATACACTTTATCTGTTGAATAAGCCTTATTTGCCCCATTGATTTGAAATATCAATTTAATCATATATTACATTGTTAGACAGATAAAAAAGGAAAAAAAAAGAAATGGGCAAAGAACCTGAATAGATGCTTCTCCAAAGAGGACATATAGATGACCAATAGACATATGAAAATATGCTCAATGCCACTAATCATCAGAGAAATGCAAAGCAAAGCCACAATGAGATATCACTTCACACTTGTCAAATGGCTATCATCAACAAATCAACAAATAACAAGTGCTGGCAAGCATGTGGAGAAAGGGGAATCCTTGTGCACTCTTGATGGGAATGCGTATCAGTGCAGTCGCCATGAAAGGCAGTATGGAGTTAACTCAAAAATTAAAAACAGATTTGCTTATGGCCTAAAATTGCTCTTCTGGGAATATATCCAAAGAGACCCAAAAAACTAATTGGAAAGAATATATGCACCCCTATGTTCACTGCAGTGTTATTTTACAGTAGCCTCGATTTGAAAGCAGCTCAAGTGCCTGTTAGTAGATGAGGTGATAAAAAGCTGTGGTACAGGAGGTATTAAAGGTACATTAAAAGTTTAGATTAGAGATGTCATGCCCTCCTTTCTGCCTAGAATGTGTTTTATACCAACCTTTCGTTGTAAAATAACAAATGATCTATAAACAGTAAAGAATTCCATTTGTGTTTCTGGTAATTTATATTTGTGATAATTCTGACATTGGCTACATAAATGTACAGATATGTTACTTAGAAAAAACTTTCTAAATTCAAAATATAATAAAAATTTCAAAACTATATATATATTTGTTTTTGAATACATTGATTGCAAAATCAATTGCTTTTTATTATTATTAATTAATGATAGTATTACCAAAAAAACCCTATTCAACTTAACAGGAACCCTAGGTATCTCTATTTGGCCATATTTGACATTTATTATGTGAAGTTGGAAGTAAAAGTATCCATTTCTGTTTAAGATATCATATTAAAAATGTTTCATTAATTAGACTAACGTTCCCATTAGTTTCAATGTGGTGAGTATTTGCTTTATTATATACACCATTAGGGCTGTATTTGTCATAAAGTTTAGGCTCATAAAATTGTTTGAAGAGAAAGATTATTTTTAAAGGCATAAAAATAGCAGCTGGAAAAAAATGTTTATACTTCTCTGATCTATGGGTGACCTACCTAAGGTCTTTACTTTGTTTATTTTAGATTCCTTTTAATGGATTTGGATGTTACCATATAAATAATCACACTCAATTTAGTTTATGGATGTCATTTCAACAAATTAGTTATGAACCATTCAAAACATAATCTTGATACGTAAAACCGTTGTCAAACATAAATGAATTGCCATCTTATAATGATCAAATCTCAAAAAATAAGTAAACTTGGCAATTGATGTGTTCAGTTAAAATCAAGATGTTGTCCCAAGAGTAAGATTTAGGTAATTTAAAACATGAATGGTTATAATTACTTGTGATGTTATATTTTTGAGACAAGTGAGACTATGTGGCTCACATTTGTGAATTGCATCTATTTACTTGTTTTTTCACAATTTTATGTTAATTTGACATTAAAGAGGTCACTTGCTATGTCAACTTGTAGAGCAATACTTCCTCCTTGGATATAAGTACACTTCTGTGTTAAATTAAAATTTTTCTAGGGTTTGAAGTACTTACGGGACT